TTCTAGTTCGTGCTGACTCCCCCAAAACCCCAAAACCCCATCAATTGATATTTCTGTTTGCATTTGAAAATTGGAAAATAATCAAAGTTTGACTTGAATTCTCTAGTATTAATATTAACAATTAAAGCCAGCTAATAATCTAATTGGGTCTCGAGCAATTCAGCAAGAGATTAATATTTATTTGGCTTTTATATACGCGCAATGGTTAATATGAAGAAAATAGTTAAAACTATATTATCTAATTATGTGAAACCACAAAAATGGATTGTAGTTAAGTTAATATTACAAGTAGGAAAAGCATTTGCTCAATAATAAATTCAATGTGTGCGTGAAATTCAATCATTAAGTCACTATATATTCTTGAGCAATAATTCTTGCTTTTCAGTAGTTGAACTAGAAATAAAGTCTTCAAAATCAAAACCCTCTTCCAGAAAGTTTCCGAATGACATCATTTCATATTCTGAGAGAATATGACTTTCATTACTAATGTCTTCATTATTGAAAAGATAATTTCTAACTGGATTGCTTATCTAAGACTTTGAATCGTTGGAAAATAGCATTTGCTGTTTTTCAGAAACATTAATTTTATTGGTTTAGTTAATAATATCTTCTCTGTCCTCAGCTTAATGACCACTCAATCTTCTGAAGATCTAAGACTCTGGTAGCTCGAAGTGTGGTTTGTCTCCTAATCTAAAAAACTTTGCTTAAGGTCTAGATATTTATTATATATAAGAATTTTACTCAAGCTTAGGAGCTTTTGGAGCTATTTGATATTAATTTCTATCATTTTTTCCTTGATTTTATTTCATCTCATCGAAATTTTCCTCTGAAGAAGGAGGGCATACACTGGCGATCAGTTCGTCCAACATTTTTTCTTGATGCGATAAGTTATAAGTAAGATCTGATTATCTTTAGAGGCTAGTCTTAGTACTCATTGAGTAAAGGAATCAAAGAGTAGAGCGTGAGATTATTAAATAATTTCAAAATTAATACCAACCTACTATACAATATCGTCAAATATTAATAATTTCGCTAACTTAATAAACTATTTAATAATTAATTTTTCTCAATCAATGTTGAATGGGGTTTTGGGGTTTTGGG